TGAAATAGACGTTGCACCAGCACTTATTCCGAACAAAGTAACGCTACTAGGATCTCCTCCGAATTCCTTAATGTTACGTTTAATCCACTTAAGAGCTGCCACTTGATCTTTCATCCCAGCGTTTCCTGGAGCTTCTTTGATTCTTAAACAAATAAATCCTTGAGTAGTAAGTCTATAATTAATAGCTACGAGAATAACTCCTTTTCTAACTAAATAATGTGGACCGTGCACGACCCGGCTGTTAGAACCTTCATAGAAGCCTCCCTCGTGTATATAGACCATAACAGGGTATTTTGATGTAGGCGTAGCATCCATTGGTGTATAAATATGTAAAATCAGGCAATCTTCTTGTCCAACTAGCCAACTTGCACCTATCCTTTGTAAACACCGTACATTTTCTTCTATTGCTTCGAACATACCTAGCCACGTTGGTTCAGGACCGGGAGCCTTGAAAAATAGCATTGAATTTTTTATTTTATATATACTGAGTACATATAATATTTATATTAGGGAGATAATTATAGTCATATTTATCTGTAAGAGTGCTACGATTATACAAATATCTTAGATAGTAGGTATAGACAAACAAGTGGGATTGAAGTTAAAAAGGAAAAAAAAAATTTTTTTTTCACTAGTGACTGTAATAATAAATTTAGGTTATAAATAAACCAACATTAGTTTTTAACTAATTGCTTATAACTTCGTCATCTGAATATATTAATTATTCAATCCTCAGTGATAAAATTCTTCTAAAATTTTATATGAGACCATCCTCGAGGTATGATTTATTTATGAAATAGAGCATTATCAAAATTTTTATTTTATTTTTATTTATTTGGATCCACTAGTGATAGTTACATTGAAACATTTTTAAATTAATTACACAATTTAACTTAATCCTAAGTGCATTACCTTTTAAAGTGGATAAAGCATGCATTAATTTAATTCACAATTTTAAATTTTGATAAATTAAAATATAAATAAATTACAATAACATCACTACATATAAATAATCGGAATTTGAAAATAAAACACATACATAAAACCTATTAAATAATATGGAAGCATTAAACTTCAAAGAATAATTAATTGAATAATTTAAAAAAATATCAATTAAAAAAAAATTATTGAGACATTATTAATTTTGTATAAATTACATTGCAAATGCCCTAAAATAATTAAATTGTATAACAAATTATGAAGTTCAGTCTAAATCTAAGCTATACAGGCTTATTTGTTTACAATACAAGAGAACACTTTATTTCGATACTTTCGCAATGAGTCCCTAAATGGGTCTAAGTGGTCACTGTTCTCGTTAAGTAATTTGGACAGTCGGTAAACTGGCGAGTTAGAGCCCAAGACAGTTCTTTGGAAAGGTCTAACAAGAGGAGTAACTGGTTTGCGACGATATCGAGTAGGAACGTTGAACCTAAATATGGATACCAAATCTGGATTATCTATAGTGTTGATAAGACTTTTATATAAGAACATCAAGTCCAACAAATCTATTCTTTTACTCAGGGTATGCATTTTGAAAAATGCTAGCCTATCGCTGTAAGAACAGAGTTCTTTGGCCTTACCCTGAGAGAATGTCAGATGGTAAAGAAATCGCCTTTATATCCTCTCTATTCTTAGGCAGTGTGTCGCATAATGCGGCCTCCACACTACGCTACCATATTCTAAAACGCTTCTTATTATTATTGCTTGATAGTATGCAAAGATATTACATAAAAAACTTTTTAATAAAAAGACAAAAACCGACATAAAAAAAACAGTAAAAAGTAAAGAATAAGTGATTGCTCGTTTTCATTTACTATAGATACCTAATCAGATATTTTTGAAGTTGGTGTGCTTTATGTATCTGCTGGCACCGACTCCGAAACATGGAGTTTTGACGTAACACAAATAATAATAAAAAAACAGCCGAATTCAGAATCTCTTCCTTTTTTAAGAAGTCGGTTGAAAAAAAACACCACAAAATGAACATAAACCAAAACGAAAACTTCATATTTTCATAAAATCGGTCATAAAATGAAGATTACAGAGAGTCATCTTAGGAAGTATTTAGTACACTACCAATGAAATAAACTGTTTTCCATAAACATGTCTGTAAAAAATGAATTTATAAAAGTGGACACCAATTACGACATTATATTTCAATCTGCGATTTACACTAATACCACCCATTTGGTCCGGTGCATCCCTAGGTCCCCAACAGTTACTCCAGTTCATAGTAATATGTGTCTATTAAATTGCCCAAATCCGTCCAAGCGTTTCAGCGTAAAGGAGCAACAAACAAACATACAAACTATCGCATTTATAATAGTAAATCCGATGATATCTCAAAAAATAACAGCAAAATTCTTACTAGGAATCTTTTAGCAGGATGGGTTGCGTAAGGCACTGCCATATACTTCTTGTGAGATCCATCATGAGCCACATCTCCTCGTAGCCAGCCACCGGTCACTCGGACCGGCACCGTTGGCTGCCTCACCAGACGAGCTGCCCAAAGCGACCACAGGATTATCCAATATGTCTTCATCACGATATTTTATACAGAACTGAGTCCTTTTTATAAGGTTACCCTTCTAGTTGCGAATTTTAAGCACAATTTATAAAGAAATTTTGACTCTCACAGTTTCAACACGATGCCTTCGTATGTATATACGTACTGACCAAATTAAAGGCTGTTTCTTTTATATTATTATGGACTTTTTCAAACTCATTTAATGTATTTTTTACTTATAAATAAGATAAAATGAAACTTAAATTTTTTGGTAATTTATTATTTAACTGGTAAATAATGTATTATGACGTATGCTAAGATACGTTCATGAATGCAATCAGAAAGTTAATAATCCACGTAGGTATATCTTTACTTACAATAAATTCCTTGAAAACGCTAAAATATAGATTAATAAGAAGTGTTTTTATGTTTAGAAGGTTGTATGAAATACTCAGCACCCAAACATCTCCAGGTAAATTTCTAAGTAATTAATTAAAATTCCAAGAAATCTATTGTTAACTGACACGCCAGCGTGTCAGTTAACATGAAGGGATTCTTATTTATTAGGTTAAAGATATAATAAAATATTCTATTCATCTATGATATTAATTTAATTGATACCTAGCATAAATCACTTTACAATTTATAGAATTTTTCAATCACATTTTATAAACAGAGCATTAAAGCGACTCAACATTTCTACCAACACTATTTTCGTTGAAGTGTAAGTTGTATTATGTCGATTTTCTCAGAATTTTTACGACTTAAGAAGGATTTGAGGTACATAACTCGTCAACAATTAGCTTAATTGAAATAGATTTTCAGAAATATGCAGTTCGTTTCCAAAAATACCACAAGCCTGTGCCTTCCTGTGCAGCCTATGTTGGTAGCATAATCTAGCCTTTCAACGAACTTTTTGCTTAAACTGCTTTTAAACTAAAACTATCTTTTCGGATATTTCGCGGATTTATTTTGATTTATGGTTCCCGACGTTTCGAATGCTTTACATCAATCATGGTCACGGCAGAGACTAAGGTTGTAGACGTCTCAAAGGCGTTATACACTTGTTACAGACAGCGCCTACCCACTATATTTCAAAAAAATTAAAAATGGCATCAGAGTACCCTACAATGTTATTGTTGAATTTGATTCTAAACATTTTTTTAATAAGTATTATAATGAAATATAGCAATATTATTAATTTAATTTTAACTGCTATTATTATAAATATTACATTTTTTTTAAACTTTATAACCTGGGTAACCGAGCATCGCTCGGCGTAAGCGTTCAGTAGGTAGGGTAGCATCTTCCATAGTAAACAGTATGGTTTTACCAACGGTACGTCTACAGCCGATGCGGGAATTCGGATGTGGCTCTTCTTAAGCACTTTTATAACGCTTGGGAATAATCACTAAATGCAATTGGTGTTTCTTTGTGATTTATCTAAGGCCTTTGATTGCGTAGAACATGAAACCCCCTGCTTAAACTAAGTCATTATGGTATTCGTGGCATTGCTCTTGATCTCATTGCTTAATATCTTAGTGGTAGGGTTCAGAAAGTCGCTGTAAATAACGTTAATTCTTCGGAATCCCCTTTGAGAATAGGTGTTCCGCAGGGATCTATTTTGGGTCTATTTTTGTTTCTAGTTTATATAAATGATCTTCCTTTCTATGCTTATAAATTGTGTGAAATTGTACTGTTTGCGGATGATACCTTTTTTGTTTTTTAAGTAGATAAAAATATTATTGATTTCGAAGATTTCGGTGCCAGCCAATACAAAGAAAAGCACACCGACTTCGAAAATATTTGATTAGGTATGTATAGTAAATGAAAACTACCAATCAGTTATTTTTTACTTTTTAGGGCTTTTGTTTGAAGTAGATTTTAATTTTTTGGTTAAAAAGTTTTTTTTTCATTTAAGACACAGTGATAAATACGAAGTAAACATTTGAAATAAGGATAAACTGGTAACGCCTAGCTTTCGCCTTCAAAAAGTGAATAGATCGTTTATGGGGCAAGGTATATGCATGTACAATAGAATTCCACAATGCATTTTGAGCTTGCCATTTAAGCAATTTAAGTCTAAAATTAAAAAACTATCACTGATTAAGGTTTTATATTGTCACGGAATACTTCGTAGATATCAATGTGTGGAACTAATGTCTGGTTGGGTCTCACGTAGGATAAATATATAATTATTTTATTACAATATTGTACACAATTATTATTTTGAAAGAGCAACTTCTCGCCGGTTCTTCTCAGCAGAACTGCCTTTCTTGACTTATATTTATATATATATATATATATATATATATATATATACCGGAATTTGGACTATTTCTTGCAAGGAAAAAAATAATTTCGATGAGGCAGTCAAAACTCTTTAGAGATTTTATTGATTCTCGTTCCCACAATTTTTTCAGCAAAAACTTTTTTTTAAAACGCATAAAATAAATTATTAAATTTTAAAATTGTAAAACATTATTTTATTTTAATCTTCTTTTCTTCTATACTTGGCATATACTTCTCGTAAATACTTCAGAGAGTCGGAGGTCCAAAGAGGAGAGTAGGAGAACTCCTCGTCGATGAATAAGGAATGAGGAGACGTCTTGTTCGTTGGTAACCACTTCACTGGTAACAGATCAGATATTTGTGGTGTGGGATCCCTGAAAGAAAAATCTGTGTTCAAGGATTTAAATTTATAGGTAGTAACGGTTAATATATACATACATACATACATAGGTACAACAAGTTATTATGGGTGGTATTATAACGTGTTTTCTCGTGGAAATGAGATCTCCCGCGGTAAAAAGTACTCTATTTAACTCTCCAGCCCTCCAACTATCTCCACACAAAAAACCACACCTATCTGTTACTCTGTTTCGACGTGAAGTAAGTACAATCAAACAAACAAACACTTTTTCACATTTATAAATTTGGTATGGATTTAGCACACCATCTTTCGTCAAATGGTAGATGCAAGTTTTATGTACCTGTTGGAATTTTTCATATAATATTTTATTTAGCATCCTTGACAATAATTTATTTTTTATTTATGTATTCAGCCGTTTTTAACATCCCACTACTGGGCACGAGCCTCCCTTTGATACGAGGGCGATCAGGCCATAGTCCGCCACGCTGACCAAGTGCGGACTGGCGGACTTCACATGTCTTTCTAAATCTCGCTAGTATCTCTCTTACAGGTTTCCTCATAATATTTTCTTTTCTTTATATCGTGTAATAATTACAATAATAACAGCTCAAATAAAATAAATAATACTCTATATTCAATTATAATTATAAAAATAATTAAAATTATAAAAATGTTTCAAAATTAAATTAACAAATATTGTAAGGTACTTTGGTGCCATTTTTCATTTTTTTGAATTCATTTTGTTAATTTGTGGATAGGCTATCTGTGACAACTATATTATAATGCCTATGAGACATCAACACCTTAGTCTCTCCCGTGACCCTGATTGCTGTAAAGCATTTGAAACGTCGGGAACCAAAAATCAAAATAAATTCGCGAAAAAATTCGAAAAGATTTTTATTTAAAATGTCAAATATTTGCGTAAATCTTAGAAAGTATTACATAAATGAAAGCTTTAGTTCTTCTCCGGATGATCCTTTTCATTTCCGAAATAAAAAAAAATATTGATAGGGCTTCCCTCAAAAGTATAATATTTTCATAAAAAAAACTATCTTTTCTACGGGAACGTGAGCATTTTGGGGAAATGGAGTTATTGCCCATTCTATTACGACGAAATAGAACTAACTACGAGTAGTACTTCAACTCGCTAGATTGCCATGTGTCGAAGCTCAGTGATATAGACAGACTGTGACATTTACTTAAATGCTTAGTATATACTTGTGACTAGCAGAACTCGAACACATACTTCGAAAGACATTGAGAGTCATGAGGCATCGATTATCAAGAAACATATTAGGTAGCACCAATTATACTCTCTATTTATAAGTTTACTAGTAATAAAATCGTATTTTATTAGAAACCATGTTTCTCGCGAATGTGCTATAATAGACAAATAAGTGCGAATGGGCCTGATAAAATACTAAAATGTATTATGATGCTTAATGAGATACATACCCGTATTTTGCAAAATTTGTCCACATTGTTGTTACTCTATCAATCATGTTGTTCTCAAAAAAATTTGGAACAAATAGCTGATCAAAAACATAGAAAAGGTCATCAGCATGAGTTGCTCCTTTTATTTTGTTTAAACCAAAGGATAGACTAAACTTCAAAAAATTTCTCCATCCATCGTACAAAAAAATGTAACTGTACACAGGATAACCATTAGATTCTAATAAGAGTTCAGTCTTTTCTAGCACTGGTAAAGTAAAGTATAGGTCACCATGAAATCTTGAAAGATTTACCAAATTCTCTGTTGTTATATTTTTATCATCCATATAAAATTTCATTAACTTTTTCCCAATTTCTTTACGTATTTCTAAGGGTGCATGTAAGTTTTTCGGTATAGCTTTCTCAAAAATTATTTTTGGAATTGTTGTTGTATTTTCCATATCAACAAATACTAAGCCTTCTTCTTTATTAACACCAATCATTATAGGAACTTTGTTATATTCTCCTTTGGATAATAGATTATACGGTATGTCTGTTAAAAATGGTTCTACGCCTTCAATTTCATGTTCCACGCAAGGTGTATGAAGTAATTCTGATATAATTATATTATTTTCTCTCCTTGGTACTCTATTCACGATGAGATCTCTATCAGATGTGTTCATTAATATTTCGTAAAGTTCAGAAGGATCTTCTGTAGTATACCCCATAACTTTAGTCAACAAGCTTGCCATAAAGACTGGCCTAAATTGTAACGCCCATGGGGATAATGAGGAGCCACTTTGTATAATAGCCCTGTGGAATAAACCTTTCGACATAGGAGATAACATATGAAATGAAATAGACGTTGCACCAGCACTTATTCCGAACAGAGTAACGCTACTAGGATCTCCTCCGAATTCCTTAATGTTACGTTTAATCCACTTAAGAGCTGCCACTTGATCTTTCATCCCAGCGTTTCCTGGAGCTTCTTTGATTCTTAAACAAATAAATCCTTGAGTAGTAAGTCTATAATTAATAGCAACGAGAATAACGCCTTTGCTAACTAAATAATGTGGACCGTGCACGACCCGGCTGTTGGAACCTTGGTAAAAGCCTCCTTCGTGTATGTAAACCATAACAGGATATTTTGATGTAGGCGTAGCATCCATTGGTGTATAAATATTTAAAATCAGACAATCTTCTTGTCCAACAAGCCAGCTTGCACCTATCCTCTGTAAACACCATACATTTTCTTCTATTGCTTCGAAAATACCTAGCCATGTTGGTTCAGGACCGGGAGCCTTTAAAAAATAACATTAAAATTTTTATTTCATATATACTAAGCACGTATAATATTTATATTTTACTAGCGAAAAAATTATAGTACGAATAAATAATTATCTGGAGGTGTGCTACGATTATGCAATTATCTTACATAGTAATCATAAGATCAAACTATCTACGAAACAAATTGGATTAAATTAAAAGTTGGATGACGGTAATAATAACTTCGTCATCTGAATTTTAATTATTTCGTCCTTAGCGATAAAATTTCGTCTCAAATTTTACATCCTCGGGGTATGATTTATTTATAAAATAAAGCATCATCAAAATTGCATGACTATATGCGAAGATTTTACATAAAAAAACTTTTTAATAAAAAATTAAAACCGACTTCAAAAAATGCACTAAAATGTAAAAAATAAGTAATTGGTAGTTTTCATTTACTATAATATAGATACCTTATTAGATATTTTCAAAGTCGGTGTGCTTTGTGCATCGGCTGGCACTGAGTTTGAAAATTTAGTTTTGAAGAGTTCTTGAGAACCTTCTCCTTTTTTAAGAAGTCGGTTGAAAATACACACAAAATGAACATAAACCCTAAACGAGAACTTCATATTTTCAGAAAATCGGTTAAAAAAATGAAGATTACACAAAGTCATATATATCTTAGGAAGTAGTAACTAACGAAATAAACTTTCTATAAAATGTTTTCCACAAACATGTCTGTAAACTTAAATTAGTTTATAAAGGTGGAAACCAATTACGATATTATATTTCAAACTGCCATTTTACACTTATGCCACCTACTCGCTCGGGTTCATTCCTAGGTCCCCAATGGTAGCATTTACTCCAGTTCATAATAATATGTTTCTATTAAATTGTCCAATCCGTCCAGTCGTTTCAGCGTAAAGGAGCAACAAATAAACATACAAACTATCGCATTTATAATAGTAAATCCGATGATATCTCAAAAAATAACAGCAAAATTCTTACTAGGAATCTCTTAGCAGGATGGGTTGCGTAAGGCACTGCCATATACCTCTTGTGAGATCCATCATGAGCCACATCTCCTCGTAGCCAGCCTCCGGTCACTCGGACCGGCATCGTTGGCTGCCTTACCAGACGAGCTGCCCAGAGCGACCACAGGATCACCCAATATATCTTCTTCATCACGATATTTTATACAGAAATGAATCCATTTTTATAAGGAATTTAATTAATTAATTTTATTATTTAATTAATTTAATTATTTATTTATTTAATTAGTTTTCATTTTCATTTTGCCCTTCTGGTTGCGAATTTTAATCACAATTTATAAAGAAAACTTCACTCTCACAGTTTCAACACGATGCCTTCGTATGTTTATACGTACTGACCAAATTAAAAGCTGTTTCTTTTATATAATTATGGATTTTTTCAAACTCATTTAATGTATTTCTTACTTATTAATAAGGTAATATGAAACTTTAAATTTTTTTTGGTAATTTATAATTTAACTGTTTAATTAATGTATTATGACGTATGCTAAGATCCATTCGTGATTCGCAAACGGAAGGTTAAAAATCTAAACGCAGATTATTAACCTTCCGTGTTTTTACTTATAATAAATTCCTTGAGAACGCTAAAATATACATTAATAAGAATTGATTAATGTTAGGAAGTTTGAAATATTCAGCGCCCAAATTCTAACTTATTTATTAGGTTAAAGATATAATAAAATATTCTATTCATCTATGATATTAATTTATTTGATACCTTTCTTTCTTTCTTTCTTCTTTTTTTTTAACGTTGGGAAATGCATTTACGCACGAGGTATGGGACTCACCGGCGTAATAAAGCCCAACACAACAAAACCTTCCTCCGTCTTAAGGGGGCGTCGCAGGATCGCTTTCAACTACGACGCCCCGACGGCAGGTCTGCCGAAGCAGACCACCACGACCATAGGGTTGCTCCAAGGTCCACTCTTCTATCAGAGAAGTACCAGGAATAACCCGCATTGTACACCGCCCACCGAAGAGGGCCACCTCCCACCGCCCACCGAAGTGGGCCACCTCCCTGTGCGTTTCTTGGCTTTGCGCCCGGTTGGATTGCTGGGCACTACTGAGACCCCCACCACGACAAGGTGAACGCACGTTGGGGGGGCATTTATTTGATACCTGCACTAGCCTTGTCCTCGTCGGTGTCGAAATTTTCACATGTAAACTTGGTACTATTCAACCAAAGAAGTATGGTTTTAAAAATAAAGAGAAAACTCTAACATGATCTTTTAAGTATTATATTACGGAAACTACATTAATGATTTTGAATTCCGTAGTCTTGAAAAAAAACATGCCCCAGAAAAAAACGCGTTCTTTTCATGTTTTTTTTTTTTAGTTTTTTCACGATAGATTTTTGCTTTGTATAAGTCTTATTTCTGAGCATGTTCTTAGCAAAGTTTTATAATGTTACAGACAACAAAAAGTCACAATTTTCAATTTTTAATTTTAATTTATTATTTCTATTTAGTTTTTTTTTTCATCTACTTAACTCTAAATTTTAGATTTAAATATTTTAATAACGTCCACACAATATAGGGGATATAGCGTGGTATAGAATACCATATTAGGATATGGTATTCTATGGTTTGCTAAGGGCTCGATGTCCGCTCCGCAGTGATTCAAGAAAAGTACTTACACAGTGACATTGCCTTCATTTTTGTGGTTGTACGTGTTCTTTTAATCTAAAAGGAATAAGCATATCGTTGAGTTTGTTATTATAATATTGAGATTTAAAGCCTTATTGTGAGTTGATATGAGTTGCTGCATCTTCATGATCTTTATTAAAATATACACAAATAATCATATTTTTAGACTTCCCTAAAAATAGGGATGGCACTTCATGTACCTAACTGTAAGAAGAATTTTTAAATTCCACATTAGTGTTTGGGGTATTTCTGGATAGGACTTTAAAATTTAGATATTGTTCAAGCCAAGAGTTACGGAGTTGCTTCTTTTGAAGTATATGGTGGAAAATACTGAAAAAAATGAGATTATTAAATTTCCAAAATTATTTTAAGAAAGTTACGTTAAGTTGTTTTTAAGATGTGGGAGTATTTTCCGTTTCACGAGTTCATTCATCAAAATGAACATGTATCTGACTTTCATACTAGTTTGTGGGTAACCGCAACGCTCTCCGTAAGTGTTCAGTAGGGTATCAATGATAGACATTATTATCGATACAGAGGCCGAATCTATGGTTTTAAAAAAAATTGACTCTCTGTCTGTGACCGCATTACGGGAAAACCACTGAAGGGATTTAGATGGGATTTAGTATGATGATGGCTGGTTATTCAGGTCAACAAATAGGATACTTTTTACTGTCAGAAAATATCTCATCTCTGAGAAATCTATATTAAACGTTAAAATGTAAGAGACGCGACGCGAAGAGTCGCTAGTATAAGATAAAATACAAACTTAATATTTTCATAGATTTACGAGAATATTTGACATTTTAAATAAAATTATCTTTGAAAAATTTTAACTTGTTAAAATTATAAAAGTTGTTTAAAATTAAAACTAACAAATATTTACAATATTTGTACTTTGGTACTATTTTTGTATTTTTGAAATCATTTTGTAATTTTGTGGGTAGGCACTGTCTAATAACTATGTAATGACCTTTGATACGTCTAAAATCTTAGTCTCTTCTGTGACGATGATTGCTGTAATCTGTAAAGCATTCGAAGCGTCAGGTACCAAAAATCAAAATAAATCCGCGCTAAAAATCCGAAAAGATAATTTTATTTAAAATACAAATTTTGTGCCATCAATAAAATGAGTATTCCAGATGGGTAAATATTTTATTTTACTTTTAACGTAACAAATTAGTATGTTAAAAGATGACATTAATATAATTTCTCATGCTACAGAGCCCTCGGTATGCGAGTCAGATTCGCACTTATACAATTAAAAAGCCAAAGAAGACATCAAGTACTTAGTATTTATGAACGAATGGGAACTTTTTTTGGGCATACATTAGCAATATTTAATAAAACAACAATAATAATATTTAAAAAAAAGTTCATTCGTTTTTACAATATTAATGGACACTACGATAAAAGTCTGACTGCTATTTCTCGTGATCTAGGTCTTTAATTCGATTTTGCTCTAGGCCAAGTGTTCATATTTGCATCGGCAATACAGCTATATTTCCCCAACCTAGTACAAAACGTGTCACCAGGCTTCATTAAAAAAATAATCATGAAATTCGGTTCTCAATTATTGACAAGATATAGCATACACATTTAATAACTTATTACTAAAAAAGGTACACTGCCTTCAAAATCACTTAAAAGTAATTATTCAACTCTGAGGTAAATGTCATAAGGTACTCGTATACAATATCAACATATACCTTACCAAATTGAGCACCTCCTCGTTTAATGAAGTCGGTTAAAAATGAAAAAGAACATGCTCTATATATGTACATATAAAGATCACGTTATCCTCTTCCCAGGCTCACTTGCACGGAAGGCCCAGGTTATTATTAGGTCCTTACATAATTGGCATTTTGTCGAACTGGCCACTTTGATCTCAAATATCTGGCGTTTGGTTAGGAATTCCAAATTCAGATTTATTTCAAATTTAGGCTTGTGTATTTGTGTGATTCACTTGATTTCGCGCCATTTGATTTTTTTTTTGTATTTGTTCACAATAATAATTCACGCACACACACTATATATATATACACATTCACAATATTTCTTGCAAGGAAAAAAATTCAATTCCGATAAGGCAGTCAAAACCATCTAGAGATTTTAGTGATACTCGCTCCTACAATTTTTTTAGCAAAGGAATAAATGAACTTCCTATATAATGGCGAAAGTACATAGATAACAATATGGTACATATTTGAATTGATTATATTATATACAATTTCCAATTATTATTATTTTTTTCTTTTTCCTTATAAAACGCCAATTTCATATGTAAGGAGCTAATATTAAGGTCTTATACAATGTAAGTTTAATAATAGTAATAAAATTTTAAAATGAATAAATTAAATTTCTAAATTGTTAAATATTATTTTATTTTAATCTTCTTTTCTTCTATATTTGGTATATACTTCTCGCAGATACTTCAGAGAGTCTGAGGTCCAGAGAGGAGAGTAGGAGAACTCCTCGTCGATGACGAAGGAATGAGGAGACGTTTTGTTCGTTGGTAACCACTTTACTGGTAACAGATCAGATATTTGTGGTGTGGGATCGCTGAAAGCAAAATCAGTATTCATTTATTTTTTATAATTAATATCTCAACTAAACAAATCTTGCTAGCTTCTTTCATACAGATTTCTTCACGATATTTATTACAAACCATGTTTCTCGAGAATGTAGCAAATTATAATAGTAATAAACAAAGAAGTGCAAATGATCCTGATAAAATATGACGATGTATTATGATGCTATTAGTACGATACATACCCGTATTTTGCAAAATTTGTCCACATTGTTGTTACTCTATCAATCATCTTGTTCTCAAAAAAGTTTGGGATAAATAGCTGATTAAATACATAGAGAATGTCATCAGCATGAGTTGCTCCTTTTATATTGCTTAAACCAAAAGATAGAGTAATCTTCAAAAAATTTCTCCATCCATCGTACGAAAAAATGTAACTGTACACAGGATAACCATTAGATTCTAATAAGAGTTCAGTCTCTTCTAGTATTGGTAAAGTAAAATATAGTTCACCATGAAATCTTGAAAGATTCACCGAATTCTCTATTGTTATATTTTTATCATCCATATAAAATTTCATTAACTTTTTTCCAATTTCTTTACGTATTTCTAAAGGTGCATGTAAATTTTTTGGTATAGCTTTCTCAAAAATTATTTTTGGTATTGTTGTTGTATTTTCCATATTAACAAATAATAAACCTTCTTCTTTAGTAACACCAATCATTGTAGGAACTTTGTTATATTCTCCTTTGGATAATAGATTATACGGTAAGTCTGTTAAAAATGGTACTTCGCCTTCGATTTCATCTTCCACGCAAGGTGTATGGAGTAATTCTGATATAATTATGTTATTTTCTCTCCTTGGTACTCTATTCACGACGAGATCTCTATCAGATCTGTTCATTAATATTTCGTAAATTTCATAAGGATCTTCTGTAGTATACCCCATAACTTTAG